AAATACTTTCTAAATGTCACTTAATTAGTATTATAATTTATTCAGTCCTGTCTGTATATTACTTGTTTTTGTTTCTCAGGACACAACTGCTAGCATAACTCACTCTAGGTTTTGATGATTTTAGCTTCAGCAAAGGCTGTTTGGACTTGGCAACTTTGGGTCTGATCCTGCTCGCATCAGTACAAATACTCCCTTAATTTGTTCCTTGTATAATTAAGCTTTCACCCCTTTAATTTCTCCTGTATAAACCAATATCTCTGGAATTCAAAGATATTTCAAATCTCAGATTTATCTGGTACCTTTAACTGTTTCTACAATATATGACTGCATCCGCTATAAAGGTATTAACTTTCTTTTCTCGAGTCTGAACAGTGGTTTTATGTCTGTCATAGTCAAATTTCATTGTTGTATTTGTAAGTGTGGTATGTTTGTTTGAGGTAACTGGAGTCTTGTTGGAAACGAAGTTTTTGTTCATGTGCTCACTAGTATGTGTGCTGCACAAGCCAGTCCTACTATTGATATATTTCTAAGATGTGTCAGGACTACAGCATATCCTTATTGTCACATTTAGCTTTCCCATCTGATCACTTCTCTTGGCCATTCTATTATGCTATGGTGTTTTTTTGTTTGTTTGTTTGTTTGTTTTTTCAGGACATGGTCTGCCTGTTTGATAGGGTGTCAGAGAATTCCTGAAGTTCTTCACTTGTGAATTGGGTTAGTTGTTGGTAATGGAACCCCTTGTATTCCATTCTTAGCAAATTGTGAGTTGCTAGTGTAACTACCATTTTGCTGCTAAAGTTTGTTCGCTTTGAAATCTCCATGAGTTTAGAGTAGTAACTGATTAACAGTAAGTTTCTTTGCCTCAGTCAAATTTAGTTCTTTCCTACCTTTTGCCACAGTCTTCACTGAATTTCTCAACCCTGTGTTCTCTTTTCATTTGTGATCTTTGGAAGAAATTGCACATCACTCAGGTTATCAACCCACTGCAGAACAAAATACTTTACCCTTGGCTTACATTTTTCAATACTCAGATTACTGATATATATTAGAGGCCAGCTCTGGCTTCACTGGGAGTTGTGTACTTCCCTAAGGGAGCAGTCTCTAAAAATACTATCTGGGCGGGATTCTCATGCCTGAGTCTCAGCCTCTTTTTGTGAAATTGGCAGAGATCTCCTAGTTTTCATGGTATGATCAAGGGTTTGAACCCTCCTCTCTCTCTTTAACCTTTCAGCTACAACAGTTTGCCCTCCTCTCCTCCCCCCATCTCCCCACCCCCCCATCTGGGGACTGGCTCTCCCATTTCCAGCAAGTACGGGAGCATATCACGTTGGACAAATGGATGCTGGAAATAGTATCATTAAGCTATGCCATCCATTTGACCTCCCTCTCTTCTCATTCCCCTTCCTATCCCTCTTCAGGGACCCTTCTCACAAGTTCCTACTAAGACAGGAGCTAAACTCCCTTCTTCCTTTAGGAGCGATAGAGCTGGTCCATGCTCAGCACAGAGAAGAGGCTTCCTCATGCTGAAGAAAAGCAGAGGGTGGAAACCTATCTTAGATTGAAGACTCCTAAACAAATCTGTGAGGTCTCAAATGTTCAGGATGTTGATTGACAGCTATAATTCCTTCTCTAGATTCAGGGGATTGGTTTTTGATCCTTGACCTTCAAGATTCGTACTTCCATATAGCAATACCTGTCCCACAGAATGTTTCAGTGTTGTATCATAGGCTGGGATCATTTTCAGTATCAAGTACTCCTGTTTGACCTCTCCTTGGCTCCAAGAGTGTTTTCAAAGGTTCTATTGGTGGTGGCTGCATACATGCATCGTCAGGTGATCATAGTGTTCCCGTGCTTCAGTGACAACTGAACAATCGCTCATCTCAAGTTTTGTCCGCCGCACAGAAAGTGCTTTCTCTGTTCTTGGACTTGGGTCTCCAGGTGAAGGTGAGAACATCCACACTGACTCCCATTCAGAACATACAGTTTCTGAGATCCAGGACCTTCCTCCCCATGGACAGATTCATGACACTATCAAACCTTGTCAGAGCCCTTAAAACTGTGTTCAAATTCTAGGTCACATTGTGGCTTGCACTTCTGTGACAGAACTTGCAAGGTTATTCCTTCACTGTTTCCAGAGGTGCCTCAGATCAGTTTACTTGCCAAACAATCACAGCCTAGACAAACAGGTGTCAGTTCCTCAACAGGTCAGATGCTCCTTAGTATTGTAGAAGGTTCACCACGATATAGGGGAGAGGGTACCCTTCCTCCAACAACACCAATGGTAGCCATAACCACAATGCATCTCTGCTAGGTTGTGGGGTGCACCTCAATGGGCAGGGCAGGGCAGATGGCCACCTCAAGAATCCAATCTTCATATCAACCTGTTGGAGCTCAGAGTGGAAGGAAGCCAAGGGTTGGAATGCCTAAAGGGGACGGTTTGGCTTCTTGTTAACCAGCGGGGTGCTACAGAAGCTCTCTTGATACTGGTTTGGTAGCTCTCTTATAGAATATAAACCACTAATTTTGGGGATTGTCTGCCCAATTTCTTGCAGTCTACATGGAGTGTGACATTCTCAGTGTGGTCCATCCAGGCACCTGGTCAGAATGGCTACTACATCAGCCCACAGAGTCTGAGAGATTGGGCCCTTAATAGCAGACCCTCCTTTCACAATGTTCTAGAAGGATAAAGTGTCTCACACAACATGGGCAAATGAATACTGCAAATGAAAATCTCTGATCAAAGGTATCTGGGGCGTTCACGCACCTAAAGTGGAGCACCCATAGGGGGACACATCTTGAAGAACTACAGTTACTGCCTGGGGTGAGTACCCTTCTCTTTTTGTGTCTTAGTCACAGTAGGACAATTACTTAGGATTATTTTGCTCCTTGCCAGTTCAGTATGGAATAGTTTCACTAACCATAACAACACATGGGTATGATGCTGGGGTCTGGCCTTATTACGCTCAGGTCGTGGTTGGGATACAAAAGCTGGTTTTGAGCTACATTTGCTGTTCCCAGATCCTGAGTGCATCACTATGAAGACTGCTGTACATTATGGTGACTGCCTTTGCCATTTCCCTGGACCCTGCCCTTGTACCAGCAAGGAGGGGGGAAGCAGACCTCCATTGTAACCACTTCACACCATCCAAAGATGCCCCCGGGCAGGTGGGACTTCTCTCAGGAGGCTAGGGGGACCCAGGATCTGGCCTCTATGTACATCCCAACTGTTCTTTTCTTTGAAATTAACACAGGTGTGCAGCATAGGAAACAAAATGTAACAGAAAGGGAAGAGGGAAATCTGGCAGCAATAACCATCTATCTACAGCTGTAAAACTGGGGGAAATTGAGTACTTTTCTGTCCTGCCTCCTACTCATGTGACTGAGAACCAGATTGTTCATAGGGAGAAAAATGTGGGGAATGGGAAGTCTTAATTGTCCCTAATTTTGTCTGACTCTTAGGAGCTGTAAGGGACTGCATAGGGTGTAAACGTTTCAAATGTGCCTAAGTGAGTTAGGAGCCCACATCCCCTTTTCCAAAGTCACTTATGTACCTTGGTTCCATTGACTTTGAATGAGCGTTAAGCTCCCATGGACTGTATTCTAAAGGTATTGAGGCACCTAAAGCTACAGAGACCGAAGCACCTAATTCTCATATGGGAATTAGGCACTTAGCTGATTTAGAACATTCTACTAGTGCCTAAATATCTTTAAAAAGCTGGTCTTAAAGGCTTACATCACTTTAGGAAACAGGGCCTAGACTCCTAAGTCACTTTGATGCTTTTGAAAATTTTACCCTGTGTGCCTAATGTTTCGAGTCCTGGTCAGCACAGGCTACTGCATTGTCTGCAGCTCCTGGGATATGTTGTCTACCTTCTGTCCTTCAGGTAGATATTGAAGCACCTGATCTTGAAAAACTGCCACTGCTAACTGGGCATAGTCTCCACGGGGGGAACAGTTTGTATGTCCTATGACCAGGAGTTGCATAGGAACAGATCTAACAGTAGTTACATGCACACGTACTATGATAGAGGCTTTTAGAGCAGAAGAAGACCCCAAACTGTGTGAGCAACATATTCAGCTAATTCACTATACTATTCTGCCTCCCCAGTGTTCACAGTTCAAATACGGTGCCTTCTCTGTATGTCTGCTATTGCTGCAACATGCTCTTCTTATGACCGAGCCTCTTATACCAAGAAAGAGCACCCTTTCCCCCAGATATTTCCCCTTTGACCTCACACCTGGTCAAGCAGTAATTCTGCCCACATTTTGCAGCTACAGCATATAGTAGTTGTGCTCACAACTTTTGCCCTACAGGTACATTTTAGTGAGGTGGGGTTAAGAATTTTTGTGCACACTCGTTCCTGAGCTTACAGTAATTGGGGTTGTACTAAGAGTGCAATCTGTCCTCATTGGCTGCATCAACACTTAAATGTTTAGCAACTCCCCCACTGCTGGCTAGCACCAGTCTACAAGCATTTTTGGCACCATGTCTTCTTGTTTTGACTTGTTCAGTGCAAGCATAGACAACAGCGATAAACACACTTCCAGTAGGGGCCCTAGTGTAGACAATTGCTAGCATTTGTGGAATTTCACAAGCATTAGAACAATGGCTAAGTTTTTTCTAGGGTGGAGAAGGTCATATGCAAGACTGTGGCCACATTTCGTACCTTTTTAGACATTTACAATTAAATATTTCATTGTTTTAAAGATCCAAACTTGACCTGTTTTTGTGTTCAAGGGCTGTGTCTGTGAAAAGCTTTGTGGTTGTCCCTTCAACAACAATAAACAGAAAAAAATTGTGCACCACAGAACTTGTAAATTCACTAACTGGTGAGTGTGCTTGTATTCAGTTATTTACATTTACCATCATATTTAGCATGGAATATTGTTATAATTTTGCTATTAGTAGACTCAACAATCATGGACAGATGTTACTAGTATCCTTTCACTTTGGGGTTTTTTAATGCAATTCAATAATTTAAAACAATACTGATATTTGGATTCTTTATGATGTTTGCTTTATTGATGTATTCAAAATGTATTACGGGGGTTCAACATAGAATGCTTTTTGCATTACTGAATATTAAAATATCTAGCTGCAATCTCAGTCTAAAAGTTTACTTGCAGTATGTGTATTTTCATATCAAAAGAGAGCTAAAATGTTTATAGTCTTCACAATGTTGATATTTTACTTTGAATACCTGGATGATTCATACAGGAATACCTGAATACTGTATATCTATAAACATATACAAAATTAAGGATAACAATTAATAGAAAAATACAAGGCATCCTTGCCATTCATGTTTAGTGTAATATATAGCCAGTCATAAGTTATTAAAAATATACACTACAAAAAGCCTGATAAATAGGATCCCTTCTGTATCATTCGTAACTGCTTAGCATTTTACAACCAAGAGCACAAAATGAGAAAAATGAAAGAAACCCCAGCCTGATAGTTGAACAGGAAAGTGCTCTGGTTTGGTAACAAAAGCTTACTACCTAGGAACCAGCTTAGAAAAAAATATTTGGGCCAAAATGTATTGTCCACTTCAGATACTTGATAGATGCCTTACAATGAATTTTTAAATAATTTTAACCACATGTATGGATGCAAATATAGACACAATCAAATGGAAGAGATTTTCAAAAGCTATTTTTCATATTTTAAAAACAATGAGGGTTTAAATCTGTTTCAAGTGGCTTCATAAAGAATTGCTCTAAAAGTTATCACCTGCTGGCTATGATATCCTCTATCTTTCTTTCTTCCTACTTACCTCCCCTCCACATGGTTGAGTAACTTACTATAGACAAGTTAAGGTTAGTGATCTGAGCTCATTTTGGATGTCAGTCTGTATGCCCTCAATTCCAACTGAAGTCTCTAAGGCCCTGCCTGGAACTTTGTCTCGTCATTTGCACTTGTAAAATGTCAATGTAAAACACTATTGAATAAGTATGGTAGCATTTTACTCCCACGTGTAAATGACTACCCAACGTGCAAGTTAGTGGAGAAAATCAGCCCCATTGAATTTACTGGGAATTTTGCCATCGACTTTAATAGGAGTAGGAAGACAGATGTGTAATAGCTTTGACCATCTGTGCCTTGGACAAAACTATCTCCCATTGAAATTGATGGGAATTAGGTGTCTAAATACCTTTGAGGATCTAGGCCTAAACATCTGATAGGATTACTCCTTGGGAGCTGATGAAAGTGACCAGGTATTCTTTTGAAACCAGATCTACCAGCCAAATTAGTGTCATTGCTGTAGAAAGCTCTCATCCAATAGATTGCTTTAATCTGACACACAACCTCTTACAAACCATCCATTGTAATAGTAGCTGAAGTAGCTGTTGCACAAATGGAACACTGAAAACATTTCTGTGAAAACTACATGTTCCCAGTCTTGTCTTTTCATCACAATAGTGAGAGAGCCTTTTGGAATAATTCAAGAAACTTCAACTGTATATATTGTATACAAGGTGTTAGATACCTAAAAGTATATTAATTTTTGTTTGTGAGGAGACATTCAGCAAATGACAGCCCACAAATGTCAGAGCTAAGTTACCTTGTATTTTCTCTATATACATACAGCTGATATCTGGTACCTTAAATGTAACGTATGCTTAACAGCCCTTGATTTATATTTCAAGTTAATATACATTTAAAATTGCTTTTGGCAAAATCCTGCAGTCCCTAATCAAGCAAAACTTGCAATGATGTCACTGGAAGCTTTTATTTGAGTTTAGAAAGCAGAGTGTGATTCTTTGTATCTTATCCCAAGACTTTGACTGAGTATTAAAAGAATGGGATATTTGCACTGTAGAAAGACCTTCCCAGCTTTCTTGATTTAGTTTCAACAAAGTGACCAACAGCCTTTCCTCTACTGTTTAGAGTTCAAGAAATCTCTACAAATGCCTCTAATAACATTAGGAACAATCTGCTCCAATCCTGTGAACTCTCTTGTGAAGAAATTGTGTGACTCTCTTGGTTCAGAGGCCATGTCTTTCAGATCATCCAATGGTGCCCAAGCAATACCAACAGAGAAGACTGTAATACCTATAGTGTTATAATAAAAAGAGACCACATGTAAGCCCAACTTCAAGGATACAAGGTACAAGGAAAATAGCTCTCCAGCTTTACATTTGCTGGATTAATTTCGACCTGAAAAAAAAAAACGTGTTTCAGTACATGCAGCTGGCCAGAGACAATGGGACTCTTTCCACTAGACTTCAGCAGGAGCAGCATTGGGTCCTAAATATTTGGAACCAGAAGTTTTTTGCTTAAACTTAAACAAGTTTATAGTAAGAAGCATGGGGCAACTTATAAGGCTAGCATTTTAGATATTTTATAATACTGCCTATGAAAGAAGTAATGATATCATTAAACTTTGATTAGACACAGGGAATGGAAGTCTGATCTACTGTGTACTAGACACCAATTTAATCACTTGAAAGATTTTCTGAACAATAAGACTGAATCATTATTGTGCTCAGTCAGTTCTCTCAAGTGACAGTAGTTCAGGGAGGCTCTTTAGCCAAACCACTTTCCTCCCCAGTAAATGATGGTAGTAGTCTAGTTTAATACCATACAGGCCTTGAGTTTGAGCTGACAGTATTTTCTTCTTTCGGATTCTGAATTTGTAATAACCTGCTTTTACTTACTTATGTAAATTTACAACATTTATACCGTACATAATGAGACAGGAAAATAGCTAGAGCAATGACTAGAAAAGGACCAATACATTGCATCTGTAGTTTTGGTGAGTAGAGTGCAAGAAATTTTCCAGTCTGAAAACAGGCTATTTGGTTCAAATACTGTAATGTCAACTGATTCAGATAATTTTCTTTAGAAGTGTCGTATAAAATTATTTAAAATGGGTTGGGTTGTTTGGTGTTTAGAGCAGAGGACAGGGAATGGGGAAATCTAGTTTCTATTTCTAGCTCTGTGACCTATAGGAAAACATTTAACCTCAGCTAGCATCTTTGTACAATGGAGTTAATATATTATGCTGAAAAGTGCTAGTAATGGCTGCCATCAGGGAGCTCTTGGATCCAAAGACAGTCAGTGGGTGTGCCAGGTATTCTTTCAGGTTCTACAGAAGGAGCAATCAAACTCCTTCATGTATTGAAAACAGCTGTAGACAGTGGAGGTGATGGCCCAAGGCAATAGGTTGTGTGGCCGGCCAGAGCTAATGCAGATAGCTTGCGGATTTCTGAGTAAGGAAGTTGTCTGCTGCTGTTTGTTGCGACTATGTTTAGAGAAACAAGCCTTTGTGTGCCTATTTTATAAACAAACAAGATTGCACAAGAATACACCCAACTCATATCACTGATTTCTCAACCTAACAACCAACCTTTGCAAGGTCCTGAATTGTGGCTAACTGGGCCAAAGGGGCAACAACACTTCACTAGCTCACGGGGGCAAAATGAGATTGAATTAATGCCTACAAACTTCTTTGTCATCCACCCCCCACACACACACCCTGGCTAGTGAAAGACACTACAGGAGTGTGAAATATTGACCTCCAGTTTCTTTTGTTGTGTTTCAGTCATTTACCTGCTTTGTGTGCCACAGCAGCAGGACCTCTAACTTCGTCATATGACTGACCATCAGTCAAAACAACAAGGAAATTTTTGTTGGGTCCATCTTTCACAGGTCCAAACACGTTTCTGGTTGTGAAAGCAATGGCATCACCAGTAGCCGTACCACCGCTCATGTAACGAATGCTCCGCACAGCAGAGAGAACCTTCTCCTTTGTGGCATAATCAGTGAGGCTGAACTCCATGCGTTGATCATAGGTGAACTGCACAGCTGCAATTTTGGAACCAGTATCGGAGATCTCAAAGGCTTTGGCAACATTACTGATGAATTCAAGCATGAGGCGGAAGTTGCTGTCTCCAACACTGCTAGAGCCATCTATCAGAAAAGCTATATTGACAGAGTTGTAGCAAGTTTTGCTACACAGCATCTGCTCATGAGAACACAATTTTTGGACAAGAGGTTTTACGTATTTGGTAGTACCAAACCAGGTGGGTATATGGTAAGAGAAGAAGCCATTATTTCGACAGACAGCCTGTTTAAAAACAAAACATGCATACAGAGATTTCTGTTGAATGTACTATTAAAGGTGTATATAAATAATTTAATTTAATAGTTTGATAGGAAACTAGGGTCTGATTCCCCCCACCAGCCTCCCTGAAATGCTGACCACCTGGAACTCCAGTTGAAATTAATGGGAGCTGTAGATGCTGATCTTCATCTTTTTATGAATACTGCTAATCCTTAGAGAAGGATAAAAGCTGGAAGTTCTAATTATACATTTCAAATGTTGAACAAAGAGACAATTAATGGGCATACAAGTATGTAAAGCATGGAGGGATCTAGATTTTGCTTCGAAGTATAATTACCTAATTTTCTGTGATTGATTCTGATTTTGCAAAAACAATTTTGTATGTACTGTAAATTGTAGATACCAACAAATATAGTCAGATGTCTATATGAAATCAAAAATCAGGTAAGTATCTAGTTACTATTATTTTTGTTAGCAAGTAAGGATGGGCATAAAATTGTGGGAGGCAAAACAGTGTCCACAAAAATGAGTAGAAAACCTGGCTCTAAATAACTTTTTTTTAAATGGCCTTTTCAACATTTATGGAGGAGCCTCATATAATTTAATGGTATAAAACCATTAAAGGGCTATACAAAATTATACAAAAAGAGGGCTATACAAAACTTATAGCAAAAACCTTTTAGAATTTAATAGTGACATTTTTCCTACAGAGTGCTAACCATCCTTTAGAATTTTATACTGGGGATATAATTCACTTATTCTACAAGATGGTTGACAAACTCTTTTAAAACTCTATTACATATGTATGACTTTTTCATTTGGAGTTCGGGCTGGAGGAAACTTAGTCATCTGAAGTATGTAATACCCATGAGTGAAGAGTAAATTACAAATACATTGAGGACATTCTCTCATACCTTGTCAACAAAACCAACATCTTGAACCATTCCCTGTTCCTCAGTTGTGGGTCTTGCTACAGACACAATGAATACATTAATGCCAAATTCTCTGGCCACTATTCCAGCTTCTTCTATATCATCTGAAGGCCAGCCATCTATGAAAACTACGACGATCTTAGGAATCCCTCTGCGTACTCCATTTTCCAGAGAGAAGAATCTCTGAGCTGTGTGTTTCAAGGCTTTTCCTAGTTTTGAACAGGAAAAGGAGAATTTGAGGAAGCTATTTCACAATTGGGAAATTGGGTTTCTGTACCAGAGACAAAATTTCTCGATATTTTAAGTGACTGCTTCTTGGAGCAGCTGGTACAGGAACCCACAAGGAGAGAGGCAACTCTCGATCTAGTCCTGAATGGAGCGCAGGATCTGGTCCAAAGGTAACTATAACAGGACTGCTTGGAAATAGTGACCATAATATAATAAAAAGAGTACTTGTGGCACCTTAGAGACTAACCAATTTATTTGAGCATAAACTTTCGTGAGCTACAGCTCAGCTTATGCTCAAATAAATATGTTAGCCGCTAAGGTGCCACAAGTACTCCTTTTCTTTTTGCGAATACAGACTAACCCGGCTGCTATTCTGAAATCTGCCATAATATAATAACATTCCTGTGGTGGGAAGAACACCTCAACAGCCCAACACTGTGGCATTTAATTTCAGAAAGGAGAACTATGCAAAAATGAGGAAGTTAGTTAAACAGAAATTAAAAGGTATAGTGACTAGAGTGAAAACCATAACAGGCTCAACTTAAATGTATACACCTAATTAAAAAACACAGTAAAAGAACTAAAAAAGAGCCACTGTGGCTTAACAACCATGTAAAATAAGCAGCGAGAGATAAAAAGGCGTCTTTTAACAGATGGAAGTCAAATCCTAGTGAGGTAAATAGAAAGGAGCGTAAACACTGCCAGATTAAATGTAAAAATGGAATAAGAAAAGCCAAAAAGGAGTTTGAAGAACAGCTAGCCAAAAACTCAAAATGTAATAACAAAACAAATTTTTTTAAGTACATCAAAAGCAGGAAGCCTGCTAAACAACCAGTGGGGCCCCTGGACGATTGAGATACATAAGGAGCACATAAAGACGATAGTCATTGCAGAGAAACTAAATGAATTCTTTGCTTCAGTCTTCACGGCTGAGTATGTTAGTGAGATTCCCAAACCTGGGCCGTCTTTTGTAGGTGACAAATCTGAGGAAGTGTCACAGATTGAAGTGTCACTAGAGGAAGTTTTGGAATTAATTGAGAAACTTAACAGTAACAAGTCACCGGGACCAGATGGCGTTCACCAAAGAGTTCTAAAAGAACTCAAATGTGAAATTGTGGAACTATTAACTATGGTTTGTAACCTTTCCTTTAAATCAGCTACTGTACCCAATGACTGGAAGATAGCTAATGTAATGCCAATATTTAAGAAGGGCTCTGGAGGTGATCCTGGCAATTACAGACCGGTAAGTCTAACATCAGTACCGGGCAAATTAGTTGAAACAATAGTAAAGAATAAAATTGTCAGACACATAGAAGAACATAAATTCTTGCGCAAAAGCCAGCATGGTTTCTGTAAAGGGAGATCATGTCTTACTAATCTATTTGAGTTCTTTGAGGGGGTCAACAAACATATGGACAAGGGGGATCCAATGGACATAGTGTACTTAGATTTCCAGAAAGCCTTTGACAAGGTCCCTCACCAAAGGCTCTTATGTAAATTAAGTTGTCATGGGATAAAAGGGAAGATCCTTTCATGGATTGAGAATTGGTTAAAAGACAGGGATCAAAGGGTAGGAATAAATGGTAAATTTTCAGAATGGAGAAGGGTAACTAGTGGTGTTCCCCAAGGGTCAGTCCTAGGACCAATCCTATTCAACCTATTCATAAATGATCTGGAGAAAGGGGTAAACAGTGAGGTGGCAAAGTTAACAGATGATACTCAACTGTTCAAGATAGTTAAGACCAAAGCAGACTGTGAAGAGCTTCAAAAAGATCTCCCAAAACTAAGTGATTGGGCAACAAAATGGCAAATGAAATTTAATGTGGATAAATGTAAAGTAATGCATATTGGAAAAAATAACCCCAGTTATACATACAATATGATGTGGGTTAATTTAGCTACAACTAATCAGGAGAAAGATCTTGGAGTCATCGTGAATAGTTCTCTGAAGATGTCCATGCAGTGTGCAGCAGCAGTTAAAAAAGCAAACAGGATTTTAGGAATCATTAAAAAGGGGATAGAGAATAAGACGGAGAATATCTTATTGCCCTTATATAAATCCATGGTACGCCTACATCTTGAATACTGCATACAGATGTGGTCCCCTCATCTCAAAAAACATACTGGCATTAGAAAAGGTTCCGAAAAGGCAACTAAAATGATTAGGGGTTTGGAACGGGTCCCATATGAGGAGAGATTAGAGGCTCGGTCTTTTCAGCTTGGAAAAAAGGAGACTAAGGGGGGATTTGATAGAGGTCTATAAAATCATGAGTGGTGTGGAGAAAGTGAATAAGGAAAGGTTATTTACTTGTTCCCATAATATAAGAACTAGGGGCCACCAAATGAAATTAATGGGTAGCAAGTTTAAAACAAAAGGGAGTTCTTCTTCACTCCAGCGCACAGTCAACCTGTGGAACTCCTTGCCTGAGGAGGTTGTGAAGGCTAGGACTGTAACAGGGTTTAAAAAAAACTGGACAAATTCATGGAGGTTAAGTCCATTAATGGCTATTAGCCAGGATAGGTAAGGAATGGTGTCCCTAGCTTCTGTTTGTCAGAGGGTGGAGACAGATGGCAGGAGAGAGATCACTTGATCATTACCTGTTAGGTTCACTCCCTCTGGGGCACCTGGCATTGGCCACTGTTGGTAGACAGGCTACTGGGCTGGACTGACCTTTGGTCTGACCCAGTATGGCCGTTCTTATGTACCAGTTGAGTAGTACTGGACTTAACTCTTTCTATAGCGGGTAAAGACTGTTCAAACTGAGGGGAACACCAGACACTGGGCATGCCACCTCTCTACAGAGAAATTTAAAAACATCTTGTGGAAAGATTTAATAGATCTCTAGGATTCGTAATTTTAGTTAATCAGACAGAACTTTCCTGGCTGTACTGCCAGGATTATAAATTAAAGGATTTTTTAAAACATTTTGAATTGTTTTTCACACTAACTTGACTGGGAGAGTAACACACAAACATGAGTACACTGACCTTCAAAACAGTAAACCGATCTAGAAACATCCCTATTCTTGCTCCAGAATAATTTCCATTACTCTGGTTGGAGGTAAGGTTGCCAACTTTGTAATATTTTAAAAAACGGACACGCCAGCAGGAGTGCCAGATCTCCCATTCCCCCTGAGGATCTGCCCCTGCCCTCTTCTCTCCCCACCCTCCTCCCACCCCAGGCCTCACCGCTGGCCCAAACTCTTCTCTGGAGGCCCCGCTCCTGACCTGCCCCTTCCCCCTGAGGTCCATCCCCCCCGTTAGCTCCTATTTCCTCCTCCGTCTGTCACTCGCTGCTTTTCCCCTCTCCCAGATCTGACTGGACACCATCAGGTCCCATTTTTGACTGAACTTTCTGGTCGTAAACCGGACACCTGGCCATCCTAGTTGGAGGACTTAGATCTTTCTAAAATGTAGAATTTTCAAAAGGACCTTAGAAGACTGAGACACAAATTCCTCTCTGTTGGTATGGTGTAAATCTGGAGTTACTCCACTGCCATGTATGAAGTTACTGTGGATTTATCCCAGTGTAATAGCAAAATTTTCTTCTGGGAATTCCAGGTAACACTGAAGTTTGAGTGGCCTGTGACTCACAAATCAATGGAAAGTACAATAATTTCCAACTGACCAAAAGTAAGTGGAACTTTACGTGTAGGTCTAGTCAGCCCTGTGGAAATAGATACTCCAAGGAAGCTCACTTGAAGTGGAAGGGTGAAACTCAGGCAGTGGTGGAAGTAGATTTTAACTCTTACCAGTACAGTTCCTACCCCGCCCCCTCTCACAAAAAATGTTCTGTGACTAGAGCCCTGCGCGGATATAAATTTATATCTGTGGATAGAAATTGGTATCCGCTGAACCACAGGGCTCTCCCGGGAACTGCAGTGGTGAAAGGAGCAGAACTTGGGGCCGACGCTCCCGAGAGCCAACACCCCACACCGGCAGCTCTTCCAGCATGGCTGTACCGCCCCTAGCCCTGTACTCTGGCAGGGCTGTACAGACCCCAGACAGGAGATGCAGCTGTGTAGAAGGGCTGGAGGTGGGGCTGGGAGGCAGTACAGCTGTGCCAAAGGAGCTGCTAATGAAGGGCGCTGGCTCCTTGGAGTGGCAGCCCCATGTTCTGCTCTTTTCACCGCTGCAGTTCCCAGGAGTGCCCTGCGGTTCAGCGGATACCAATTTGTATCTGTGGATATCCGCAGCCACGAGTATAAATTTGTATCTGCGCAGGGCTCTACAACTGATTCTTGAAAATATCTTTCTGGTACGGCGTACCAGCAATAAATGTCTTAATGGTACGGTGTACCTGACTGTACCAGCTTACTACCACCACTGAACTGAGGGCACTGTTCCACTTTGCTTCATGACTTAATGTGTATATATCTGAGAGATTCTCCTTCTTCTTCTCGTATTTCATTTCCCTTCAGAAACTTTTTTGATATGCTCTGATTACCCCAGACAGTCTGAAAATCATTCTACTATAAATGATACATATTTGTTTCAGGAAACAAAGCTGTTCCCTGTGAAGAAATCCGTGACTGTTTAAACAGTGGAAATTACTATCACTTTTGTATTGTGGGGCAATGTTATGTGGAACTTCATCTTCTAAAAACTGAATTTAGGACAGGCCAACATTTTAATACAAAACAAAATGACAACAATAACATTCCTTGGGTACAATTAGTTCTTATCCGGTCTCTGATCAGCTTTGTACCTACCCGTATTGGAGTTGCCGCCTCTGAAGCCAATTTCCTTTATGGCAAACAAAACATCTTTTGCCGCAGTAAAGTTTTTCAGATAAAATTCAGTTTTTGGATGCTCACTATGTGAAAAATAAAGTAACCAGTTAAAAAACAGACATACATGACAAATCTTAAAATAGAAATGAAATGCCTTTTAGCCTGCTTAAGAGCAGAATCCAGGGTTCTGAGTTTTGTCAGCTACATTTAATGATATTAATTCTTAAAACAAAGTAGGAACCCTCACTCTTTGCAGTATCTGTGATTATCTCAAAGACAGCAGAAGGAATCAAATTCAGAACAGAGGTCTTAGCAGGTAAGAAGGGAATGATTTTCATTCATTTTAAAGTGTATTCATTTGCTGTTTTTGTATACTGTTATAGGAACAAATTTTGCTCTCAGTTATACCTCTGTAAATGGAACTACTTTTTGAGTCACATTGGAGTAAGTGAGAAATGAATTTGGCCACTTTTTTATTGTTGAATTTGGATCTTAAACATTTGCTAAATATATATATATATATTTTAAATTTCTTTTAAATGAAAATAGTTTCAGAGTAATTTAATTTGTATGCTAGCTAATTACTCTTTATTTAAAATAAGGAAAATTTTAGCTGCAATGAATTTCACCCTCTGACTCCTAATCTAGGGGGAACAAAACACTAAATTAAAAACTAGTTGTCATGTGAACTGTAAGAAGTACATTTGGTCTCACTTGCAGTTGAAAAGGACAAGTGTTATGAAGTCAAGGTCTTGATGCAGCATCAGATGGACCCCTATGCCTATGCAGAGTGGGATCTGCATAAGAGGATCCCAGTGCAGGACGAGGACCTAATGCTGCTTTTTTTTTTTTTTTTTTTTTTTTTAAAGATATGAGGATCATTGGAGGGCAGTTACCATGATCCATTACCATTAAAGGCTTGATTCATCAAGGTACTCAACTCCAGCTGACATCAGTTGCTCAGCACTCTAGGGGATGTAGCCCCAAGACAGCCATGTTTGCCCATTAGATAATTACTCTACTTTTTGGGACTGATTCTCCTCTCATCCCATTTTGCAGTGATGTAACTCCATTGAGTCCAGGAGAGTTCCTGTTTTAAGTGAAGGACTCAAGCCCTGTGTCTTAATCTCTCTTCAGTATTCCATACACCCATTACATAAGGCTTTCTCCAAGCCTTTCAGTTCAAACAGTTGTTTTGGCTATTTATAAATTTCCTGACAAATCCCATGGTTTGGAAGGTAAATTATTACAAATAAATGAAGTCAAACAATAATAATTCTCCAGGAAGCAAAGTTGTCTTTGCTAATGTGACCAGCAAGTAATGTTGCAACAATTTTCTTTTCAAGTGAACTGGAAAAGCTGACATGGTAGTTGATCATCATCCTGATAAAAAGAAATTCAATTCCCTCCCCCCACCCAGAAATTTTTGGTTCCTTTTGTTCAGTGTCTATTTTAATAATGTTTAGTATCTTTTTTGCACAACATTCACACAATATCTATATTGTTTCTTGTTGACTGTATTGGTACCTATAATTTAATACAGGCTTGTTGAAGGATGTGGGAGAGACCTCACTTGTTAATCCACCAGCTATTTCCGTGTTTAGAAGAAACTTCCTTTAGACCAGAAGCAATTGCCAAAGTGGTTGGGCTTTGGAAAATAGTCACCTCACATAACCAGCTGCCCAGGACTTAAATCCTGATAATAGGCAAACAAAATTGTGAGAGGTGTTTTTAAAGTGGGGGGTGAGAGCATTAGGCTATTGGGTTGGCCGTTGCGGTACCTGACAGTTTTATGCTATAAGCCAAAATACAACCCAATGTTAAGTCTTTTTTTTTTTTTTCAATTTTCATTAACACGTTTGGAAGTATCAGTTGCTATAAGCTGATCAAGGATACTCCATTTTGTGTGGTATTAAAAATTACTGACCATAATATCAAAAATGGCCAAGTTTTAGAATCCCCACTTTGCTGAGATCTTCATCTTTTTTTTTTTTTTAAAGATGAACTACATGACCGTGAATGGTGCTGGCAGCCCTGGAGGCCCAAGTCCTCTCCCCTCAGATCAAGGACAGGGCAGGCAGCAAGACAAACTTCTCTCACCCTTCCACATCAACTCACCTCAAAACTAACATAAAGGAATGCTTGCTGGAGATCAGAGGATAGTTTGCTCTCTATGCCCAGTCTCTTATTGTGGTTGTCAATTAGTCCCAGTTGTGCTTTTGTGTACTGGACACCAGTCCAATCAGAACTGGACTGAAACCACAAACACACTTCATATAGATGAAACTACCATGAAGTGGTTCAAACTGTCATTCACTATGTACCATTATTGGGGTTGGGTATGAACTAGGGACTTGGAAAAGAAAGGCTCTGTGTCCCACTACTATTATCCTAGCCCAAGTAGTACCCAACCTGAGGTCTGTGGACCAAGAGTGGTCCAGAGAGAACATGCTGGTAGTATGCATAGGCCTGTCTGGTAGCATGGTGCTGGCTCTTCTTGTTTTCCACTACTAACTCATATTAAAAAAAAGTAATACTTCCTTAATATTGCTCCTGTTGTCATGGGGATACTACTGGATCATCGGTAGAAAGGGAGGTGTCTGTAAGACTTGCTGTCTCTTAACAATGTAGTTCACATTAGGAAAATCTTTAGAAACCTCTGTCCTAAACCATCCAGTCCCCCCAAATAAACTGATTTTATTTGGATGTCTCAACTACAACAGTTCCTAAGCAGAATGTTATAACTTATACTACTCAAGTAGAGGTCTGCTGAATAGGATATTTTTATATGCTTCAGCTTTCTCATTTTAATAACTCAGTTTCTAGAGTTTTCTTATAACATTGCAGATACCTGGCTTGTACAACTCCCACATGTGGTCCTTCGGTTCCAATTCCCAGCATCACAGCTACTTTCCCAACAAAGTTCTTCTGCAAATTAAATCTACGCTGCCCAATATTGTAGCTTCCATCAATCAGAAAAGCAATATCCGTTTTACAGTCTGTGAACACCCAAGATAATTAGATTAATTGAAAGGCAAATGAACAGGAATTTTCTTTGCGTGAGTTGGCTATGTGGGTTCCTACCTTTGTTCCCAACCTTTTTCTCAACAAGTTTCTTCAGTCGTTTATCTAGAATGTAGGAAACAGCAGGGTTATTTAGGGAACAAGAGGCTGAATTGCTTAAACTGAAGCTAGAAGAGGTCAGGACGTTAAAAGCTAGGTTCTAACCTTGCCATCTGTCCTGTGTGAGAGGTGGCACGTATGTGAGCCTTACAATTTTCTGAATGCTCTTTGGGATTCCAGCTCTGATTTCCCCTCACTTGGGGTGGAGAGAAGTTCCTCCATCCTTTTTTCATGTATCAGGGGGTAGCCGTGTTAGTCTGGATCTGTAAATGCGGCAAAGAGTCCTGTGGCACCTTATAGACTAACAGACCTATTGGAGCATAAGCTTTCGTGGGTGAATACATGTTGACATTCATCCGATGAAGTGGGTATTCACCCACGAAAGCTTATGCTCTAATACGTCTGTTAGTCTATAAGGTGCCACAGGACTCTTTGCCCCTTTTTTCATGGTGTATCTCAACTCCCCTTTATGCACCAGCTACTTGGCTAGGGGTTGAGGTGGACAGTGGGAAGAGGAGTCAGGGCTACTCCCAATGGAGAGTAGCAAGTGAATAACCTGCTCTCCTCCCCACAACCAGACTCATAGTCTCTCTTGCACAACTAAATGCTGTGACACTCTACCTCCGAAGGAGTTTAGGAGAAAGGTCTTAACACAGAGTAATATGTAGGACAGATTCTGCCAGAGGTGGCAACTGTAACTGTGAACATAGTTTAAAAAAGAATGTTAAGCTCTCAGAAGAAAGAAACTTTGCAGGGCATGAATGTTAGACAGGTTGGTGGCCCACAGTGGCATTCCATCACCCAAATGTTAATATGGGGCCAGTTGTAACTTTGCCCCAGATATGGAAGAGTACGCACCTATACTGCCCCAGGAGCAAAACAGGACTCAAACTCAGAGTCCTGTGCTTCCTAGTTTTCCCTGCCTTCAGGAAAGATATACCTTGCCTCAGATCTATAGTGGTGCAGCACACTTCCCCCAGGATGCTGGCGCAATTACACTAGTTAGTTTGTCTGGGGGGCAGGAAAGAGGAGGCAAGACTCTGTCCATTCCCCCATCCCTTCTTGCCGACTGGTGCAGGAGGGGTGTAGTGCCCCTGTAGCAGCTGCTCCTCCCTTTGTGCTTCCATCCACAGCACAGATAGCTGGTGCGCTGGAGTAAGGTATACCTCATACTGTCTTACCCTCCTGTATGGTCCTGAAGGACCAGCTACAATCTGGCCCTATGTTATTTACTCGTCACACACAATGACAGAGAAAAATATTGTTACTGCTTCATCTCTTCAAAAAACAATTTAAAGCAAGGTCCTTTGTCTTTGCCACTCTGTGAATATAAGACTCAAGTTATGACAACATGAAGTAACAATATTCAGTTGCAGCACAACAGAAAATTGATACTGCTGCTTCCACGAAGGAAGAAGTGAAGAGAAAGGAGTTGCTCCAGGAGCCAGGAGGGATTCATGGTTGCTAGAAACTCAGCTTGGTAAAGAGTTTACTTTGTTTTGATCTGTAGATTGAGTTTAATCAAACCCTTTATGTATGTGTGCTTCTAACAATTATCATGAGGGGCAAGATGGACTGGGGATTAGACGTCTTCACAGCAAGGATTGATTCTTTGACCAGTGAAAATCCTGACAAGGAATTACACCCTCTAGCTACACCCAAGAGTGCATTCATACAAGACTGTCCATCTTTTTTCTGGCTCTGTCCATTGCCAATGTATCCATTCCAACTCCAATATTGTGCCAGAATTTTTCCATACTTTCCTGACTTTGACCAAAATCGTGGCTGCTGCTGTTGGTTCTTTGAAGTGCAGTAGCTGAACTACAAACACATGGCTGAGTGTAAAATTTGGTGGGGGGAAAAGCAGGCACTTAATTTTTTTATATTCATCTTTGTTTTTCAGAAATACACAGGCTCAAATACTGGTAAAGTTATGGCAACCTTAAACCTGTGGTAGTGAGTATCAGTCATTCCTCCTCACAGGCAAACCTGGGAGAATGAAAATCATTTCTATAGCTTTGTCTACTGTCATCTGAGCAGTTATGGGATCATCTTGACTTTGAATACAATGTGTAATAACGATGACTTGGTATTGACTTATTTCCTTTTCAGTGTTTCTATATCTGATCTAATCAAGACTGAGTACAACTGCATGAATGATAAGAATTCTCCAGTCTATCCTTGACAGTGCACCCGTCACCATGGTATGAGGATCTAAACTTCACCAGTACACTGAATCAGACAGACAACTCTCTCTCAAATTCCCTCTCTAAAAAGGAATGCATTCTCTTCATTTTCATATCAATCACTTGATGGAAATGAAAAAGCCTCTGAGCATACAACAGGTTTCCTCCTTGAGTTATCTGTATGATGCCACTGTGTTCACTCAAGTTTCTACCAGTTTACACCAGCATAACTGAGACTGGAATCAGCCTCATAGATTACAAATGCTACTTGATATTGCCTGTTAAGTATATTGGGTAAAAAGTAACTTTATTCAAAAGATGAGTTGATTCTGAGTCTTTCCCTATCAGGCAGCCATTCACACATGAGGGTACATTTCTCATATAGTGTGGAAGCCTTCCCTTGGGAAGATCATCTATTAGAAATGTTTCCAACCTCTAGAGGGGCGTGCTGTTGATAGTGGTCGTCCAGCTGCTTCAAGTGCTCCACTCTTGGTCCCTGTATAATATTGAAAAGATGAATTCATTGCATCTCACTGCAGTCAAATTACATTGCAGGTGTTTAAAAAGTAATCAAATTTGAAAAATGTACAATTGATAAATAATTACAGCACATCTAGTTTATAATGGCCTGTGAGCTAAGGCAGGTACGTTTTATAATTTGTAAAAGACTCAAACAGCTATGGCTCCCACTGAAGCCATCTGGATTTGATGTCACTCAGCACCACTCAGAATCAAGGCCTTCATTTGTAGTGGCCACCTTATGGGAATTACTAGTGTCTCATAGACTTGGCAGGTAGAATTTATGTAAACAGTTTGGAAGCACTACAGAAAATTTTAATTCTCCTGTAAAATAATAGTCCAGAAACTACAGAAGCTTTCTTCTGTCGATGTATATTTCTGAAACCAAAGCCCCAATGAACAACCACAGTTTTGCTAAGGGTCATCCTCAGATATATTCCATCTGATCCAGTGATACCTGTGACCCTGCTTGCCAAAAGTCCCTTTTATAAAATTCCTTGTCCCAATACTCTTTAGAGAATGAAAGCCCTAGGCATGATAAAATAGACACATAGCTGAGTCTCTCGTTACAGGTAGATTTACTGGATATACTGAAATCCTGACAAGGAACAAGTTTCACAGAAGACCAGGTTTTATCTGTCTGTGTGATGGAAGGTAAAGGAGGAAAAAACTTGATTGTCCATCCTTTAAGATTAAGGTAGATCACCAAATACCAGTTAACTGATTGTACAGACAAAATTTTCTTTAAGGATATGTGAACCTGCAGTGTAGAGGTTCAAAGGAGACACTTAAGCACATTTTACCTAACTAAGGCCCTGATCCTGTGAGGTACTGAATCCCTATGGGAGTTGAGCACTGGACAAGACAGGGCCCTAAATGAAAAAACATACAATGTGGTGTTACTGACCTACATAATCCCCTATCTTTATTCAGTTTCTCACAAAATGAGGATAGGAATTTTCCTGGAGGCCTTTGGTAAGGTTGCTTTTTGCGCCATTTTCCTAGGATGAAGGCTGTAGCATTTGGTACACTCAGAACAGTAACAGACTGGTCAATGGGTACTGGTGCCCAGAGCCTCAATGGGAATTGAATTCAGTGGGAGTTAGGTGCCTACATACCTTTTGAGGATCTGGGTTTGAGTAACTCAAGTTTGCTTTATGTATGAGAGTCAGCAGCAATCATTGACTGAATAGTCCAAATGGAATAGTAAGGTAAGGTGATTATAAGAAAATGGAGGATAAAACAACGAGAAAAGGAGAAAGTCGGTCATTGTTTCTACAGCATACTGTATAGTCACAGGCCACTGAAAGGCCTGGACAAATTTCTGTTAACATTGCAAATATATGTTACTAAATAATAAATACTTGATCCACCTACCAGCCACTGAGAAAGATGAAGCCCATCTAGTGAGCACCTGAGACTGGATCCCATTGGCATATATGGCAGAGTAGTTCTCTTGTCCTGGCAGGGTCTGTACTCTTACAATTCCTCCCGCACTGGTGATCACGCCTCTGGGATAAAAGAGGATGGTCTTACCACAAGGCCAACTAAATACTTCACAAGTATAAAGTAACATTTTTTAAGAGGCATTAAAAAAACCCCAGAAAGGACAAGGTCCTTAATTTTTTTAAATTATTTTACTATTACAACCAACTAAGCTAAGTAAAACTATGGAAAAAAAACCCCTACAGCTGAGATAAGCAAGGATGGATACTGCTGAGACTCCATCTCAGGCCGAGGTGTTTGAGAAGGAACTGAGGCTGTTTCACCCATGCAGCTCTATATAGCCATTGTGCAAAGCACAAGGCAGAGTAGAGCACATGTGCAGGCCAACTGGACACTGCTACCTAAAAATCTCAGATGGAAGGTGCCTGGGACGCATGCACACCTGACATGGAGCACCCATAGGGACACAACTTGAAGAAGAATCAATGGCTCTGGTCAAAAGAGCTAAAGAAGAAAACTATAAGGGGGATGGGGTGAAGGTGAGCTCCCAGAATTTCTACTGAACCTGTTCCAGCACAGTGCTGTATTCTTAAATAGGGAACCATAGAATAGTTTAAGAGACTTCTGGTTAGGAATCATGAGTTGTTCTCCCGGTCCAACAAAGGTATAGGTTGTACTGCACTGATCTAGCACTAGATTGATACTAAGAGAAACCAACCAATTAAACAGCTACTTCACTGGTTACCAGTTAAAAAAAAAAAAGGAAAGAGGCACTACAGGACATTGAGGAAATGTACTAGGAAGACATTTTTGAACCTTTGACTGTGGGTTCACCCATATTTCTGATTAAGAAAAAGGAAGGCAGCACCAGATTCTGGGTGGACTATAGAAAATTAAATGAAGTCACTTTAAAGGATTCTTATCCATTACCATGAATAGATAGTACCATGCATGCTATAGCAGGTTCAGCCTGGGTTTCCACACTGGATCTTAACAGTGAGTATTGGTGAGTAGAAATGGATCCAAAAGAGGGGGGAGGGAATTGCTTTCACAGGAGAACAAGACTTGTGGCAATATAAAGTGATGGCTTTGGTCTTGTGCAGTGCACCAGACATATTTGAAATGCTAATGGAGAGGGTAGTACATGGCATGTCCTTCACAGTCTGTCTGTTATCCCTATATGATATCCTGGTGCATGATAAAACCTTTGAACAGGAACCAAACCATTTACAAAAGGTCTGTGAGATGCTGAATCACCCACTTTGAAACTGAAGCCAAAGAAATGTGAGATGTTCCAATAAAGGTAATCTACTTGGGCACACAATTAGTGGGGAGGGAATTTTCACTGACAAAAGAGAATTGAGGTGGTACAGAGCTGGCCAACTCCCAGACACTTATAGATGTACACAGTTTTGCACGGCTCTGCTATTACAGAAGGTTCAGTATTGCAAAAATGATGGCATAAGTTGGGTGAGAAAGGGAAACAATTTCAGTGGTCAGCAGAGTGTGATAAGTGTTTTTCAGAGTGTGTTTTCAGAGTTGAAAAAGGCTCCACTTACTGCTCCTGTCTTGGCCTACTTGTGTTTCAAAACTTGTTGGACAGAAAGGCTGGTGCTTATGGTTTGGCGGAAGTATTGACACAAGAACTCCAGGGACTTGAGAGCTTACCGTGGCAAAAGTCTACGTTCTCCTGAGAGAAATTATTGTCCCACCTGAAAAGGAACTCCTAGCAGTGGTTAAATCTATAGAATGTTTTTATCCCTATTTGTGTGGGGGGAAGTTTATGATCAGGATAGACCAAGCTTTTCTGCAATGGCTCTTTAGGTTCAGAAATCCTGAAGGACAGCTTGCCAGATGGTTGGAGAAACTGCAGTGCTATGATTTCAAAATAGCACACAGCCCTGGCCATATGCATGTTAATGACGATGCCTTGTTAATGCAGCCTTGCTGCAAACCCTGTCCTAAGAAGGAGAGCAAGGAATTAGTTGCTCAAAGGAATGGGTGTGACTCCCTTCCTCTAATTCACAGAAGTGCTCATGTTTCTGATTCATCCACTGAACCATGGGGTGAGGTTGCAGGAATGGACCAAGAGCAATTCAAAACTTCCTAAAGAGAGGATCCTGACTGTAGAGTAGTGTGTGACTGGAGAATCACCTTGCAAACGCAGCGACCGTGGAATGTAGTGAACACCACAGTCAAAGCTTTCTAGTCACCGTGGGAAAGCTTGGAATTTAAGGATTAAATATTGTATAGGAGCAGGGTGAAACTAGTGGGTGATGGATCCAGATACCAGTTGGTTGTACCAGATACATTGGAAAAGGGGATTCTGAGGTTATGTCATGCTCTCAAAACTCCTGGACATTTTGGGGTTACAAAAACTTTAGCTAAGCTAAGGGAGAATTTCTATTAGATAACACAAGCAAGATGTAGGAAGTTGGTGCTGGAAATCTGATCCTTGTGTTACAAAGAAGGGTTCCTCTAAAACTGGGAGTACCCTCTTGTAGCAATATCTTGTGGGGGCATTAATGTAGTGCATTGCCATTGATGTTCTTGGGCCCTTGTCCTGTGATAGAGGCTGGCAATTGATATTTGCCGGTAGCTATGGGACTACTATACAAAATTGCCTGAGGCTTACTCAATAAGAAATCAAAAGGTTGTGACAGTAGCAGAGGTCCTTGTGAATGATTTCTTCACCAGATTTGGGATCCTGGGTGAGTTACATGTAAATCAGGGTGAAACTTTAAACCAAAGAATTTCAACAAAGTTGTGAGATTCTAGGGGTCCACAAAACTCGCACCAGCCCGGCACATCCAGTCTGATGAGATGGTCAAAAGGTTCAACAGGACTTTGGGGGTTCAGCTAGCTACCATTGTAGAAGAGCACCAAGTGGACTGGGACTAGCATATCCCATTCCTTTTGATGGCTTATAGAACAGCAGTCAATGAGGGTACAAAGTGTACTACAGCACTCCTCAGGTTTGGGCCCCCTCCCAGCAAACATTTTGTATGGAGCTTCTGAAGAGGAACAAAAGGGTTTCAACCATTTGGATGATGCAGAAACCCTACAATCCAAAACTGAAAAAGTTCACATCTTTGCTAGGAAAAATTTGAGAACAGCTGCTGATAAAAATGAAAAGACTGTGACCTGAAGTCAGATGGGGAAACTTTTAAAAGAGGGGAAGCCAGTCTGGTTCCACAATCCTAGGAGAAAAGGGAGTAGGAGCTCTCAGCTGGATAAAACTTGGGCAGAACCCTCACAATAGTAACTCAAATAAGCAAAGTGGTGTGTAGGATACAGTTTGGTCCCAGGACTAAACCCAAAGTTATCCATAAGGACTACCTAAAGCAGTATCAAGGGATATAGTGTTTCAGCATGGCTACTGCCCACATCTGAGACTGTAACTGGATGCTGAAGCTGGAAAAGTTGTGACAGTGATGAGTCCCCCACTCAAACAGAATGGGCAGGAATTTTGTCACAGCCAGGAAGTTCCACAGAAACAACAAATGTGTCTCAAAAGTGCACTGAAACGAAATCCAGGGAGAGAAAAGCCTCAAAGAGATTTAGGTGGGAATAAAATTATTTTATGTTGGGGATGTGAAATTGTCCTGACAGAAGACACCATGCATATGTAAATAGTTAATTTGTAATTTGTTAAATTAGTTCTTTTCTTTTTGTTTGGGGTGTATTAGTGGGTATTACCATTTTGGACCTCATTGAGACTATTGACAAAGCTGAGGTTGATGTTGGAATGCACACTTGATATTAGCTGAAATGAAATAACCATATTTCTGGTCTCTATTTTTGTTCCTTTGTTAATGAATTTGGAAAGTTCATTTTCATGATAGCTCAGGATTTCCTTTAAAGGTGAAATTCACCTTATACAGAAGGTCCATGTGGGAGCTAATCAGTGAAAAAGGGCTTGTGAATTTCTGCCTAAATGAAAAAAAAAAACAACTTTTGCTATCAAAACCTGATTTTTATTTTTACAGAACCACTGTATTTTACTCTGGGGCCAATGCCTTGCATGCCAAGGCTGTTTTGGTTATACTGGAACTTTATACATTTTCCAGGAATGCCTTTCATTCTATTAGAATCACAGAACTGGAAGGGACCTCGAGAGGTCATCTAGTCCAGTCCCCCGCACTCAGGGCGGGACTAAGTATTATCTAGACCATCCCTGACAGGTGTTTGTCCAACCTGCTCTTAAAAATCCCCAGTAATTAAGATTCCACAACCTCCCAAGGCAATATATTCCAGTGCTTAACCACTCTGACAGTTAGGAAGTTTTTCCTAATGTCCAACCTAAACCCCCTGGCTGCAATTTAAGCCCATTGCTTCTTGTCCTATCCTCAGAAGTTAAGAAGAACAATTTTTCTCCCTCCTCCTTGTAACAACCGTTTATGTACTTGAAAACTGTTATGTCCCCTCTCAGTCTTCTTTTCTCCAAACTAAACAAACCCAATTTTTCTATCTTCCCTCATAGGTCATGTTTTCTAGACCTTTAATCATTTTTGTTGCTCTTCTCTGGACCTTCTCCAATTTCTCCACATCTTTCCTGAAATGTGGTTCCCAGAATTGAACACAATACTCCAGTTGAGGCCTAATCAGCGTGGAGTAAAGCGAAAGAATTACTTCTCATGTCTTGCTTACAATACTCCTGCAAATACATCCCAGAACGCTGTTTGCTTTTTTTGCAACAGTGTTACACTGTTGACTCATATTTAGCTTGTGATCCACTGTGACCCTCAGATCCCTTTCCGCAGTACTCCTTCCTAGGCAGTCATTTCCCATTTTGTATGTGTGCAACTGATTGTTCCCTCCTAAGTGGAGTACTTTGCATTTGTCCTTATTGAATTTCATCCTATGTACTTCAGACCATTTCTCCAGTTTGTCCAGAGCATTTTGAATTTTAATCCTATTCTCCAAAGGACTTGCAACCCCTCCCATCTTGGTATTGTCCGTAAGCTTTATAGGTGTACTTTCTATGCCATTATCTAAATCATTGATGAAGATACTGAACAGAACCAGACCCAGAACCAATCCCTGCAGGACCCCACTCGTTATG